GTAAAAAGTATGCTGAAAAATAATTACTCAAGTAAAGTACAGATAACCACGATTTCTACTTAAGTACAGTAAGAAAGTATTTGTACTTAGTTACTTTACAACTCTGCTTCGCACAGAGGGTCTAGAACCTCATCTATTGAGAAGAGGTTTCTTGCTGGAGGCGTGGCCTCTGTTGAAGTTTAAAACGATTGGATCTGATTTACCCAATCGCTAACGTTTGGTCGGGATGTACGTAGTGCGCCAGCTGGACAGCGAAGGAAGCTAAGCTAAGAAGCTAACYGGTGTARACAACCATCCCTTACTGGGAGGAGAGAAGTATCAAGCTGGAGGAGACGGCTGTAAATGAGTTTTGCAGGCTTTGTGAGGCAAAATCTATTTAATGCGTTAGCCTTATCAACACAGACTGGCTTCATTCACTTCCTCCGCTGCCATTGCTAAACTACAGGCAAACTAAAACGGTGCAGCGTTCACAACTCCTCCTTCTGTTGGCTGATTGACCCGGTTGAAAACCTAATGGAGAAATCCTTGTCTATGGGAGAAACCCCAGACGGAGCAGTGAAGGGAAACTAGAATTGGGCCAGGATAACAACATCCAGCTCTTATGGCCACTCAAGCTGGGTCCAAAACTAACGCAGCCTGTTGTTTTTATTTTACCTGCAAAATCTTTTCAGTATCTGTTGGTGGCTCTGTACAGTATTTATTTTATATCTCTTTGTGCAATGATTCTGTGTTCACCTTTTTTAGAAGCACCTCCTATAAATGAGACTTATTTCACAAAAAAACATAAATAAAAAAAAGAAAAACCCTCTATAAGCTTGTGTGACTCACCGGTGGTGAAGCGTGGTTTGCTGCTGGGGTCCTGAGGGGCCAGGCTCAGGGTTTTCTCAGGCAGGGTGAGGGAGGTGGAGGCWGGGGATGACTGCGTACGCGACAGGGGGCGATGAACGCCTAAACCACAAGCAAYACCACCGCCGCTGCGTAACACAGGAACTGCCAGGTTCTTCATGTGTTGGTGCAACTCCTGCAGCTGCTTCTGCTGCTCCCATAACAAAGACTACGCAAGAAAAACAAAAAGCTTTGTTGAGCGTTAGACATCAAATTCTGAAGGTAATTGATTGCATTTGATATAAACGCACGCCGCACATTTTATCTGTAGAGAAATTTAAACCCACGCATCATTTTTGCTTTCACTTCACCATTATGCATTGCTTCGTGTTCGTCTATCATGTMAAATCCATTCACAGCATGTTGAAGTTTGTGTTTGTAATGTGACAAAGTGTGGAAAAACTCAAGGAGYGTGCCAACTTTTAAAGTAGGCATAAGATTTAGGTTAATGACAAAGAAGGTTTGAGAAAAACTATCACTTTAAAAGGATTTTCTTAGACAAACATTAAAGTAAAATAAACAGTAATAATTATGTCTGAGCAGGAGTCAGGCTGCCACCTACAGGACAGAAGTGGAACATTTGTACCACACTTCCCTGCGTCTGTGTCTTTGTGTGTGTAAAGAATAAAAAACTGCAGCTTTCAAACCTGGTTAAGTATGAGCGCGTGTTGCAGGTTCAGCTCTTCGTGGGTCTTGGATCCAGTCGGCTCCGCCTCCCTGAGGGACTCTGCCCTCGCTCTGCTGTGATAGGTCTGGTCCGTGGGCGACGTCCCGCCGCCGTCCTCGGAATCCATTTCCTCAGAGGGGATCTGATGCAGCCTGGGCTTCTCACTGGACTTCGACATCAGCTGTAAGCACAACACATGCAACAACAACAAAAAAACATTCATTATCTTAAAAACCAAAACTGATTTACTTTGGCGAAAATAAAAACTAAAAACTCGTATAAAAATCTTAGCTAAAAATAATACATATYTTCACCTTTGAAATTTTTAACCCATAAATGTTTTTTCTTTTGTAATTAATTAATAATAACCCACTGAGAGTAACATTACCTTGCCCAGGGGAGTCTGCTGCTTGAGCCTCTCCAGTATTTGTGCGCTGTGCTGTTGATGAAGGAGTTGCGTGTGCAGGGTGTGGGGGCTCTGGGGAAGGGGTTCTGAGCGCGTCCTGCTCAGAGGCTTGTGGGACTGAACGCCACCTGGAGAAAGGTGGTCTAACTGTGGCGCAAACTGCAACGGTACCGATTCCAGACCTGGAACTGCTCAAAGACAGGGAAAAGAATCCAAAAGACGTTAAAGTTGCCCCGACTGTGTCAAATAAATTCATATTTCCTTGTAAGCGTATGAATATATATATAGTAGCAGGTATGTGACAAAAACAAGAAAAAAAWTAAGAATTTTATAAATGTCACCACTGGATGGTGCTCTAATATTTCAAACCATATTAAAAGGCTTTATTGCTTCATAAACTCAAACATTTTACATTTGATTATTTTTATTCCCTTCATACAGTCGTCAGATCAGTAACTGAAGCAAAATGATTGGTTTCTTATTTTAAAAAGAACAAAAAGAAACAATTTTATTTCTTTTTGATTTTTTACCTGGATTACTGAGATGCATCAGGACGTTTCTTATTTTAGTTTTTGCTGCCTTAAGGTCCCATCACATTAGAACATTTTAGACGACTTTTTTTCCATTAAATTACTAATAAAAGTTAGATATTTGATCAATTTGTTAGCATTACAGTATGCACATGCCTAAAAAGGCTTCCAGTTAATTTTTTTTGTCCCATCTTCAACATAGAGGTCTCCAAACTTTTCATAAGTTGTCTAAGTGTTGCAGGGGCCACACGATACAATCACAGAGCTCTGTGACAAACGTACGCCAGTGTGAATCGGTGCTTTTGTCTCACCGGTGATGATGGGAGGGTGGACGAGTCCAGAGGGCTCCAGGATGATAACAGGCAAGTGGTGGTTCATCTGCCCRGCTTGGTCTTCTCTGCTGAGGGGCAGGAAGACCGGTGTGCCCCCAGCAGTGACCATGGGAACCCGACTGACTTTCAGAGAAGACAGTTCTCCTTCAGCCTGAATGCACAAATAGAACTTAATAGATACAGAAAAACACAGAATCTGGCATYTATCAGCAAACAAAGACACAGGAGACACAGAACTGATCAGGTTCACCCCAAAGATCCAGTTCCCCTGCACAGAATAATGTCGTGTATGCTAAGTGTCAGGAGGACTGTGATCAGTTATAAATCGGGGAAACAAAAACAGTCACTGTTGAAAAGAATGAGACAACACAGACAAGCTACATCTACAGGCCAGGACTCTGCAGTTTACACTCATCTTCAGGTTAAGACTCTGCAGTTTACACTCATCATCAGGTTAAGACTCTGCAGCTTACACTCATCATCAGGCCAGGACTCTACAGCTTACACTCATCATCAGGCCAGGACTCTACAGCTTACACTCATCATCAGGCCAGGACTCTACAGTTTACACTCATCATCAGGCCAGGACTCTACAGCTTACACTCATCTTCAGGCCAGGACTCTACAGCTTACACTCATCTTCAGGCCAGGACTCTGCAGTTTACACTCATCTTCAGGTTAAGACTCTGCACTTTACACTCATCTTCAGGTTAAGACTCTGCACTTTACACTCATCTTCAGGTTAAGACTCTGCACTTTACACTCATCATCAGGCCAGGACTCTAC